TTGTGGTGAGGAGGTAGATTTTTCCCCATCATCAACTTTCCTTTACCAAAAAAACCCCCCAAAAAACCCGATGTTGTAACTGCTATAAATCAGATATGGTACAGTGTTTGATTTGCAGTGAGTCATTAACGGGATTAAGGATGAAGTATGTGTTCGGTGGAATTTTGAAAAATTCTTTTTGCACCTAAGTCTGTGTAATTGATATTTGAATACCAAGCACCCATTTTGGGGGCCGGTCTTGTGAAGAGTTTATCAAACACTCAACCAAGCCTGTAAACAAGAGGGTACTTTTGATTGATTTGTGCTTTAGCTATTCCAAAGTGATCTAACATGCCTGAGGCCAGTGCACCAATAAGACTCAGTGAGGGAGTAGCTGTAAGTCCACATGGGTAAAGATGAAATTCTATGTGGTTACATGGGAAAGTAAATACTGAGAGTTCAGGCACAAAACAGAAAGGATTTAGGGAGAACCACTGTAAAATATCAGCATTTCCTCAACTTAAAATTGTGTTCCAGGTACTGTTGTTGCATTACAAACCACTCCAAATTTAGTGGCAAAAATAATGATCACCATGCTCACAGATTGTGTAGTCAAGAACATGAACAGGATTTGACCAGGATGGCTGGTTTCTGCTCCATCAAGTCTGAGACCTTGCTGGGAAAACTGGGAACTAGTGAGGCCAGTGGGACCCACCTCTGAGATGGCGTGCTTCACTCACACACCGGGCTCCCTTGGCAGGGTGCTAGGAGACTGGGCTCAGCTGGAACTATAGGCCAGAGTGTCTACACATGGCTTTTCCAGGGTAGTTGACTTCTTACATGAAGTTCAGTATTCCAAGAAATGAAGTGTAAGCTACATGGCCTCTTAAACTTGGAAGTTACACAGCATTACTTTAGCCAACTTGACAAAGCAGTTACAAACCGTGCACATTTCTAGCAAAGGAAATATAGATCATAACTCTCACATGGGAGGTATCATACGATTCCAAGCCATATTTTAAAACTTACTACAAGATGGAAACCAGATCCATATGAAACTCCTTTGTTTTGAAGCATAATATCCAGTAACCCTTTATTTGATGAATGACTTGTTTATTTCAACACATTCGCATCCCACTCATGATATCCTGTGACTATTTGTATATCTAAGGAAGCCAGGTTAAAATATCAGAAAGTATTAGTGATGTTCTTATGAGATTAAGCTGTATAGGCAAGCAAACTTAGTGACACAGCGGAAAATGACTTCTGCTCTGTTCTTAGGCAACTCGAGTAGCCATATAACACTAGCACATAGCAGGAAAAAAGTTATTGCCTTGCTGTGCCTGATAAATATTTAAATGCTAGTGTGGCAGATAAATGATAAAGAAACATCTTCAGATCACTGTTATCCTTTCCCTCTAGGTACCACGGAGAGAAAACATGAAATTAAAAAGATACCTCCCGAAGACCAGAAACTCTTCCAAACAGAACAGAAGAGAAAGGTATGAAATCAATTCTTCCTTGCACTTCTAGAACTTCTATCATGGCCACTAATCCAATTACCCACAGGATTTGCTTTTTCTTTAGGAATATGTGATTGTGAGTTGTTTTGATGCTTCTAGACATCCCATTTCTAAAGAAGTAGAGGGGTGATGTGGCACTTTTGGGGCCATATTTTCTTCATCGAATGAAAACCAACCAGCCCGCTAACTTAACACATAGTGGCTCTTCAGTGACCATCTCTGCATCACCCTTACCTATACCCTGAAGCCAGTGGACTGTTAAGTTCCTTGAGGGCCTGAAATGTATCTGATAATTTCCCCTGCTCCTGCCCTTCCCCTGCCTAGTGCCTGGTGCTCATTCACTATTGATGGATGAACTTATCTTAGCAAATTCCCATCCAGAAAAATAAAACCCACTCCCTCAGTCACTGCTGGGCCCTTGGCTTTCTAACACTGTCCTTGGTCAAATAAAATTGGAGGGAGGAGGAGGAGCTCGGTACTCAGTGTCTCTGAAGTTGGTCAGAAGTATCATTAGCAGGGAAGTGGCTTAACACTTTACAAATGTGTTTGATTCCCACCATTGGACTGTCTATCCCAAAGAAATCTGCAGGCTGTGAAAGGACAAAGTGCCTAAAATTTGATTGATCACCACGTTTATGGGAAACTTGCTATATTTATTATTATGAACAGGAGGCCAAGCAAATTCCATTTTAAAAAGCAGTTATTTTGAGTCACAAGAGAAATGCTGAATTAATGAATATAATTATTTAGAGATGCTCCTTGGTGGTCTCATGAAACTTTACTGTGAAATTTAGTATTCATACCATCCTACTAAAAGTTTTGCTAACATTCAAGCTATTAAGAATCTTTACCTCTTTCCTTACAGTGACCAGGTAAAATTTGAGTATGAAAGCTCATTGTGAAGGCCACATCTGTGTCACAGATCAGAAAAGAATAGCCATTTAGTGCATGCCCTATCAACAGCTCTTTGATAAAAACCTGTGTTGTGAAAATAACCAAACACCATCTCCTGTCCTCATGGAGGACGCATGACTAATGTCAGGGTACCACCAACTCTGTGATAAGGACACTTCCTGCACTGGTCTGATGTGATGAACAGGCACTTTCCTTAGGTGCCAGTGGCCATATACCCCTGCTTCTTCCCCTTCTACAATCCTTTTCTATATCACAATGGGTCAAGAGGCAGAAGCCCTGATTAGAAATGCAACAGGAAGCCAGGAACCAGTCCTGCCCTGAAACTTGTCCCTGTGAGGTCAGCACAAGTGCTCCCTCCCATTTTATCCTGCAGGCTGCCTGCCAGGGGTTCCTATTCTTGTCCTGGTCCTGTTGCCCAGCAGAAGTCACCTCTGCTTAGCATTGCATCTGAGCCCTGTCCCCTCTAGCTCAGCATAACAGAAAATGAGTTCTCAACACTCCCAGTTGGAGCGTTGTTTCCCCACAGAAACATGTCAGGGATGAGCACAAGAATAGTTGCATAATACCTGATAGTGTTTCTAAAGTTTTTGCCAATCAGTCTGGGCCCCCAAATGACATAAAGTCTGTGTCTCCAGGTAAAAGGTCCTCTGAGGGCCACTGTACAAGTGAACAAAGGAAGCTTATCTGTACTGCAATGGGCAACTCTCTGAAGTCCCATCTTTATTTAGAATGTTGTGGATGTATGCTTTCTGCATCATACATGGGGCAAGGCTAGTTAGGAAGAGAAAACTTGAAGCTGTCACTGGACACTGCCCACTTTGGCTACCAGATCTGGCTTCAACTTTATCCTAATAGCTCTTGTCTCCAGAAAGCCTTAGAAACCAAATACCTAAGAAGTCTCGGTTTGCCTTCCAAGTTCAAATTGTGCACAAAGAGAATCCTGAACGAATTATTTCCTGAATTATTCCCCGTTTTATGGACTTATACCCTTTTCAGAGGCTAACCTGAGAGTGTCGGCCTGTTCCCACCCTACACCCAGCAGCAGCTCCTTTGGGCCATTTGTCAAATCCATCAACCATCTGCTGAGCATAGCCTTGTGCCAGTACTGCATAGGATGTTAGGGAGATGAACAGAAGTGAGCCCTGTCCTTAGAGGCTAGGAGCCTGTGGCTGTGCTGAGTATGCACATGCCCAGCAAGTGGCCTGTGTGTAAAGGCTTCCCTCTAATGCTCAGTTGAGGGAAGAAGTGTACCTGTGAGCGTGGGTCTAGCTATTGAGAAGGGAGTATGGTCATGTCACATTTCAGCCAGGCTTTTAAGAGAGAGTTGGAGCTTGCTGAGAGGGGCAGCA